AACTTCCATTTGCTTAAGACTATTCTTCATTTCCCCGGTTAGTTTAGGGAATGTATCGCTACTGGAGATACCTTTTTCCAGGGGGCTTAAGCAAATGGAGGACAATGTACCCATTAGAACTACAACTAGACAATATAAGCATGTTGCGTAACATATAGAGGCCCTTCCGTGGTTTTCACCTTCTGTCCAATGATGTAATGTTGACCCCGGTAAAAAATGCCCGTCCTATTGATAGGGGGGTTGTCGGGGACCCAAAGGTGGCCTGAATCCAACCACTAGACCCAGGGACCCTTCTAGAAGTGTTTGGGATTAGGGGGACAAAGTCAACGAGCCGCAAGGGGCCCCGAGTGTTCGGAGAAACGCCAATGCACTGATCCTAAACCAACCCTAAACACACCCTAGGCCCACAACACGTGACGTGTCCATGACTTTGCTGGGGGGCGGGCGGGGGTAGGTGGGTCTACAATGTTGGTTCCACCTGCCAGGTTGGGTATTGCAGGTGAGCTCAGAGAAGCAATCATGTATGCATCTCAACATCCAATCAACGCGACTAGGAGAATGTACATGGTTAACTTCACTATGAATTAGGATAATGGTTTGGAAAAATGATTTTGACGAGGTGACATACCCCAAAGGGGCGGTTTTCCTTTTGGTTCCCCTTTAAACCACAAACATGAACCTCAAACACATATATACATATACATATATATATATGGTTGGATATATATATATATATATATATGGTTGGATCTTTAGACTTTAACTTTTTTGCCTTTTAACCAACAACAAGTTAAACTTCTTGCTGGGGGATCTACAGCACCCAAGTATATGTATATATATATATATATACACATTTATATTTCTATGTACTCCTTTGGCCCTATGGAAATTCCGTGGGTTCCTGGACCCCGAGGCAAAGAGGAGGCGGACCAGGAGATGATGCCGCCGCCCCCACTGCCAGTGAAGAAGGATGGCCCGCGCCTAGAGGAAGGTGCCGAGGGGGGGAGCCCTTGGACCCTTATAGGTACAGCCGCAGGAAACCCAGGGGCCCGAATGATCAACAATCGCAGAAGGCAGGAAAGAGCCAAATGCCGGAAGCTGCTCATGTGAGCCTCCAACATGTTGAGGCGAGTGGGAGTTTGCGTCCAAACCAAGCCGCTTCCAAAGGTGGATCGTCCAGCGCAGTTCTCGTTCAATGGCTCGAGCACTAGGGTTTTTCTTGGGGAAAGAAGCATGACCTAACTCTAAAGATCAAACGGGAACTGTTAAGGTTGGTTTGGTTAGAACTAGATTGGTTCCACTGTTTCGATAGGCGTTTATGCCCATCTGTCAGCCTTGGATTTTTCCAACAGGGTCCCCTATGTTCGAGACCAAATGTGTTTTTGTTTGTGGCAAAGAGGTTGAGCGTTTGGACGGCGCTTGGCTCAGAGGGTCCTTTTGGCTGCTTAGGGTTTGGAGTGTTGTCCTCTTCAGATTCCTTTTGCTCTGGGACAGAATGAATGGCACAACCAAGCATAAATATATCCTTCCCTTACGATCCCCTGCTTCATGCAGGCTGAGTCTTTGAGGCCGCCGTGTTGGACAATAGAACGCCTAAACATGTTGTCGCAGCGACATCCTATTTTTAGAATGGCTGAAATTGCGCTTTACTTAGGGGAAGGCTGCTCTCGTATCAATTTGCCAGTACTTCAATCCGGGTTTAGGGTTAGGAAAGCCCCGCTTTCCCCGGAAGGAGGGACCAGGCGGCGTTTCTCCGAACTCCGAACCAAGCATTTTATTGTGAGACCGCCTTGTGTGGCAAACCGCCCCCAAAGGAGATGGTTGCTTTGCAAAAGCCGGCTTGAAAGGAACCTGAAAGGGAAGCCAAGTTTCGTCTTGAGGCGCCAATCATGTCCAACCCATAGTTTGACACATTCCCACACATTCCCACACTCCCTGCAAACCAGCGGTTCGGACTTGGGTGTCTACCCAACTTGTTCCGCGATGGCAGATGCCAAGCCAAGTATCCCACAGGGTCTGCTGGGCAACGGGTAAAAAGGGGGCGGGCTTCAATGATGATATTCTTCGTTGCAGTTGCGAGCTGGTTATTGGAAGGGAGCCAAGGAGCAGCAGCTAAATTTGCCCCAAAGGAGGTAGAAAGGGAGTTCTGGACAGGTCTAGTTACTAGGTCCCCTGTCCCCCTTTCTTTGGGGGAGGGTCCCCCTACTAAAATAGACGACAGAAAAATGGTACCCTTATTCTAACCTCCCTACTGGAGGACCTAGGCTTGGTGAACAGCAGCTTGATGCAGCGTCCTTTTCGTGTCCCAAGTTGCCACCAACTGTTTCTGGATGCGTTCGCTCTTTTCCAGGGGAGCACGTGATCGTCTTCAGCGGCGACCTGAAGAACCTGCGCGGCACGGTGACGAAGGCCATTTTCGGAGCCACGGCGGAACCGGAGTAAATCTAATTTAACCCATGCCCAACTTGGGTGTAATGTTGACCCCGCATCCATAAACCCCGGTTTATTAATATGGGGGTGTTCCCCTCCAAAAGTGATAAATCCCCACTAAAACCGGCAACACCCCCATATTGATAAACCGGGGTTTATTAATCCGGGGTCAACATTACCAACTTAGCAAGTCGCCGTCGCCCAAAGCGACTCGACCATTTGACCTTTTGGTTTTCCGAGTTTGGACCATTTTTAGTCAAGGTCCCGACAGGTTCACCGTTTATTTCTGAGTCCCTTGGGCAACTGAGAAGTAGGTTATAACCATGGTTATAAGGATGATCACCCCAGTAAAACCAGTTACAACCATGGTTATAACATACTTGCTAAGTTGGTTGAACACCCAAGAAGTGGGTATGGGTCAAATTTTAAACTACCGGGCGAAGGGCTGACCCGCACCACCCCATTCCCTTGTTGCAAATATCGAGGAGGGAGGGAGGGGGGCAGGGAGCCCAAATCAACTCTTAAGCCCGAGATCTAAATTTGGCCTTCCCCCCTCCCCTCCCCTCCCCTCTCCGCCCAGGTTCTGTTAAAATAGCTTTCCAAGCAGGCATCAGACCTCAATCAACCTCACCTTTGATTTGAAGCGGTTTGAATGACTGCTGAGTGAACAGCCTTCGTCTCTTCCCTGATCCGCCCACCAATTTGGTTGGATAGTTTTGGTCCTAGAAGCCAGACATGGGAGCCCAGAAATTCCTTTCCCAGTGGTGCCCTTTTACCCTTTTTTGGGGGAGGGTTCCCCTACTAAAATAGACTACAGAAAAAAGGGTACCCTTATTCTAACCTCTCTACTGGAGGACCTAGATTCAGCCATGTTTGCTAGGGCGACTCCTGCCTGTTTCGCTTTTCTCTTTATCTGGTCGTTTGGGTTGTTGATTATTGTAGAGGGCAAATAGGAAACTACCCTTAACCACCAAACCACTAAGTAGGGGGAAGCTAAAAAGTGGTGAGCCTCAGAAAGTTTTTTTCCCCAACAGCTGAAAGCTTTGGGGTCTCAGCCCAGATAGGCTCCGGGGTGGTGAGGGACGGCCCTGAGGAAAGGTTCCACCAGGGTTGCACCAGGGTTCCACCAGGGTTCCACGAGGGTTTCACAAGGTTCTGCGAGGGCTGTGGGGTGGTGTGAAGACTACAAAGAGCATCGCACGCTGTTGGGGATATCACCTGAGCTTATTTTTGTTCTGGGTCAGTAGTGGGTCACTGGTTGGTTTATCCAGGGCGTTCTCGAGCACAGTGAGAGGGAACCATGGCTACAAGGGAAGTTTTAGTGAGAGTCAAGGAGAATCGACCAGACATGACCTTCTGGCTTCCCCTTAGGGTTCCCAGTTGTAGTGGCCCCAAAAGGGGATCACCTTTTATTTCCTTCCATTTGCTTAAGAATAGTTGTTTTATTTTCCATTGTTGGTTTTCAAGGGAACCCGTCACTACTGGCAACATGTTATTTGTCCAAGAGATGAACATAAGGGGTTCTACCCACTCGTGGGACCTCGTGGTGCCACTTTGGGTAAGTAGCCTGACTACCAGTCCCTCACTTCCTGGGTTCTGTTTCGGCCTTTCGTGACTGTTTGGGTTGGGACAATTTGGCATACAACAAGTTTGGTTTCTAGGTGCCCAGTAGTGCCTTTTGACCCTTTGTTTGGGGAAGGTTCCCTACTAAAAGAAAAAAGGGTACTCTTATTCTAACCTCTCTACTGGGGGACCCAGGTTTCTTTTGGGCCGTCCACTGAAAATTGGCCCCCGACACCTCCCCGAGGATCGCCCACGGTGCTGCTGAAGCCCCACGGCATCGATGTCAAAGGCGACGTCTCCATCGCCGTGTCGCGGCTTTGCAAGTACTTCGAGGTCGGCGACTACGCCGCTTGGACGCGAACGAAGCGAAGCTCTCGCCGCTTTGGGGGTCCCATTTAAAAAAAGACCGGGAAATACGGGGACCCACGAAAAAAGACTTGCATTTGCTGAAATGAGCATGTGTTGCGATTGCCCTTGGTTGGTTTTAAAGTGAATTGAAACCACTACTGGAATGTTGGTTCTCATGTTGTCCAGGCGGCGGAAAAGCAAAGGGATGTCTGTGAGGTCATGGACTTTAGTCACTTCTGGGAAGACTAGCTTGGTGGTACGCAAGCTTTTTCCACCACTATCATCCAAATCCATTCCCATTGGGTTGCTCCGTTTTCTGTTGCTTCTTTTTGGAGGGGATTCCCTTTGATACAAGTGGTTGGATGTTTTGTCCTTTGGATTCGGACGGAGCCAGAACAAGGGAAGCCATTGGAAGGTTGCCCTTAATGGTCCTGAATCTGCCACCGTATAACATCAGTCAGTTACTGGCCGCATGTGTCCCAATTCTACTCTTGGTGGCTCCCGAAGGCCACCCGGTTCCTTAGTGTTTTCGCCTTTTAGTGTTTAGTGGTTTCCATTTAACCCACTAAAAGTTAGTCACTTTTAGCGGGGGATCGAAAAACGGGCAGCCCAGTAATGATTGGCTCCTTTTTTTTCCGTTCCAGCGGAAGTTTCTGCGCGGCCGGGGGGAGCCTTTGGGGCTCGCTAGCCTCATTGATTGAGGGAATGTGCGAAAGCAGGGTTGTGGAACCACTCGGGGTTTATTCCCACTTCAGGTTTTGCGGGAAGTGGGGATGTTTTTAGTTTCCAGATTTTTGTTGGGGGAGTTTTTATTTTTCAGTGGCCTAGAAGGGTCAGGGTTGTGGAATCACTTGGGGTTTATCCAACCACTTCTGTGATACTTTCGGGAATCTTTTTCATGGGGTCTTAGTCTTTCTGGTTAGGCCCTTTTTGTTGTATCACAGAAGTGGGTCCCATTTCCCACAACCCTGTGCGAAATCGACGGCTTCCTTTTGCCAGACCCGAAAACCTATGGAGTCGCACTGGCCGAGTTCCTGTCAACTTTTGGGCAGACCATGTGTGACAAGCAGCAAGTGCAGACTTTTGGCCAATTCACAGTGAGTACGTGGACCCTTTGAGAGGAAAATCGTAGCAGCTTAAAGTTAATGCTTTCCCGTGCAGAACGAAAAGGGTCCTCTTGCAGTCATCAAAAAAGGTTATGGATGAGGCAAGTTATTTTTTTTTCGGTTCATGCCGATTGGCTTCTCAAGTTGCTGGACTCCCTGCAAAGCGAAAGTGAGTGCGAAGCAACGCATTCGACTCGAATGAAGCCACATCCAGCCAAGTCATATTTCATTGGGTGCGCTTGTGCTAAGTAGGCAACACAGGTCACTGCCAATGGCACAGATGAATCCAATGTATTTGGTCAGGAGGGCGGAAATCAAACAAAGCTCCTGAATGTGCATTCTCTTGACTGCACCCCATTTCCTGAAATCCCGGCATCCTCCTTAGTGAAATGCCGCCAATGTATCGCTCTTTCTGATCTGTCTTCAGGTATTTCGAGTGACACAAAAAGCAGTTCCAGTTTCCCCAGGTGCATTTGGGGTGTTTTTGGGGTGTCTTTTCAGGGGTGGTGTCAGATATGGCCAAGGTGAATGTGATCTCCGGTGAACACGAAGGTGACGCAGGACATGTAGAGCAGGCGGGGGGCGTTTTCGAAACCGAGGGATGACTGTTTTCTTGGCCGCTACCGAATTGGCTGCGAAGGGGCTCGAGGTAAAAGGACGAGGACTGAAGAGGCTCCAGATCAATCAGGGGGCTCCTCCCAACATCTCAGTCTTGGGTGGCTTCTCTACCCTTTTTCCAGCAATCATGGAAGCGTAGAGGGAGTTTTTTTTGGGGGAAAAGTGGTCTTTCCACACCCTCTTATCAATTTCCATGATTGGAGGGAAGGTTTTTGTTTCGATTTTTGCCCTTTCTCCAACTACTATGGCACCTGTGGGAGGGTACCCGGAGGATCAGTTTCCTTTTGGAGGGAACCCTGTCAGGTGCCATGCCTCAGTGGGAGAGCGGGTAAGCCCCACTCTCACAGCCACACGTCGCTCATTTCTGAAGGTCCTGCTGCTTGCCTGGGGCTGGTTTTGGTCATAGCCCCCTCGCGGTCACTTGGGTTTGGACCACAAAATGTGCTGGACGTTTCTTGGCCCATCCACTCGAGTGCGTGTTGGTTTCCCTATTAGGGAAGCCTAATCTTCTCCTTTCAGCAAGAGCAGGGGTCGGGTCCGTTTGGCCAATCCACTCAGGAAGTAAGGCAGTTGCGGATGTCATTGAGGGTTGATCGTTTGTTTTTTTTGACTGCGCTCTTCAGATTATCGCCCGACAGAGGGTCCCTTCCAGAGAACATGCATCTTCCATTTACCCGCAAAGCCCATGTCAGTGTGGGGAAGGCTAACATGTTGGGCTGTCCTTTTCCAAAACCGCAATTGCCCAAAGCCGCCCTTTTTCACCTGTTGGTTTCAGTCAGGGCTCCAAAAGCTTAACCTTGTATTTCTGGATCCTTTGGGCAACTGAGCAACACTTTCTAGGTGCTACGTGGTTCCTCACTGTAATTTCCCAAAAGGAAGTCGAAGTGGATGGGCGATTTGTTATTTTTCCAGACCCCTATTCTCGCTGAAGGGAAACCAGCAGGAGAAGGGGGGGGGCAGTTGCGCACTTGCCCAAGGCGAATCAACCAGATCTGACCTTTGGTTTCCCCTTTTTGGCCCATTTTTGTCAAGGTCCCAAAAGGTGATCACCTTGTATTTAATTGGATCCTGTTAATTACTTCCATTTGCTGAATAATATCTTTAATGCTCTCATGTTGAATCTATCACCACTGAAAACATGTTCTCATTTTTCCAGCGGACGAAAACGCAAATGGAAGTCGGGCAGCTGAGTTGTTTATCGTTGAATTCGATCGGAAAGCCAAGAAACACATCTCAATCAAAAAAAGCGGAAAGCCCAATCTAGTTTTAGTCTTTTTCCTGGCTTTTCTTCCTGGTTTTTCTTCCTGTTTTTGTTTCCTCCTGGTTTTGCATGTTTGCCCAGATCTGTTTAAACACATGAGATCCTGCCGCATTCGACTCCGCGGCAGGTGGACCTGGGTCCTCAAAAGCAGTGGGGCGCCCACGCCACGGCACGGAACTTTGGCGGGGTGATTTGGGTGCCGACGCGTTTGGTTTAAAGAGCCCTGGATTTGGAGCTCGGAGCTATGAGGTTGGTTTTTCCGTATATATGTGTTTGTATTACTTTTTTCGGTTGCTTGTTTGTTTGTTTGGTTTGTTGTCAGTTCTTCTGCAAGCCAATGCCGGTTGGAAAGGAACCACACCATTTATTGAGGTCTCCTTAACCTCACCCTGAGTTTCTGGACTTTTGTAAACTTTGTGGGTTTGGGCCATTTGAATGGTAAACAACAAGTTGGGGTACTGTTCTTGGCCAACAAGTGAGTGAGCGGCTATCTCTTCTCTCGCCCACCATTATTCCCTCTCCGGTCCCCCAGCTGGGTGCCCGCTCTTTCACCCCTTTTTTGGTTGGGAGGGTGCTCCTACTAAAATAGACTATAGACCCTTACTCAACCTCTCTATTCGGGGCAGGTACGTTCTGGGACCGTGCCCGTGGTGCCCGTGGTGCCCGTGAAGCCCGTGGGCCCGTGAGCCCGTGCCCGTGGTGCCCGTGGTGCCCGTGCCCGTGCTGCCCGTGGTGCCCGTGGTGCCCGTGCCCGTGCTGCCCGTGGTGCCCGTGGTGCCCGTGCCCGTGGTGCCCGTGAAGCCCGTGGTGCCCGTGAAGCCCGTGGGCCCGTGATCCCGTGCCCGTGCTGCCCGTGCTGCCCGTGCTGCCCATGCTGCCCGTGTCTCCACGCGTTAACTTGTTGAAGTAGGCCTAGGGTATGGGGCGGTTGGACTTCGCTGCGTGGGTCTGCCGCTCTTCTACGCCACCTCATGGCCCAGCTCGCCACTTGGGAGGCCGGCGCAGCCCGTGGGTGAGAGGGCTGGCTTGTCAAGGGATGGCTGCACCATCTCTTCTCTACTGCTGAAAGGGCCCCTCGCAATTACAACGCAACATCTTATGCGAAATCTTATGCGAGAAACATGTTCATGTTTCCTTAAAGCCTGTTTTGGTCCTTCTCTAGCATTTGCCAAGTCTGAGTTTATTTGTGTGTTTGGGGGACTTGGAACAACCTGGGAGCCCTTTTCTCGTTTGATGCTTGAGCCAGCGGCCTGGGGCCATTTGACTCAGCAGCTGGGCACAAGAGCACAAGCCGACGAAGTTGCGTGTTTTGTTCGGTGCTTCAGTCCTTACTTGTTCAATGACGTAGAAGCCGAAGCGCCACGATGCGTCTTTATCTGTGCGCAGGGCAGCATGCACACAGCTGAGCCAGCGTCCCGGCACTGCTCGGAGTGCGGGGCAGCGCTATCTCGTGGAAAACTGGCAGGCCTTCACGCTGCAGTTCTTTTTCCTGAAGGCTGGCGCGCGGTCAAACATGTGACAAAGAGATGTCGGAGACAGGGGTGCAAGTTTTGCGGCAAGACTATCTTCTACAATTTCATCGCGATCTCCAAGAGTGAGCGGCGTTTTCACTGGACAGCTGGCTCGCTGCAGTTTTTCTTCTTGGATGCCAGGCATGGAGTGTCTGTGTCCTGGCTTCAGCAGATGACCCGCCGCTTGTTCTACCAATATGTGGCGTTCTCTGGCGAGGCGCAAGTGCATGGAGCAGAGGCAAGGGCTGCAGGCTTTGAGGGCCGTGTTCCAAGGCACCCAGGGCTCTTTCTGTTCAAAAGTTGGCTTTATTGGAGATTTGTTCTGCGGCTGCACCAGCACGAGGAGGAGACTCAAGAAGGGCGCTGTGTCAATTTGAGCCTGCCGTTTGCAAAGACTTTGTCAACGGCTCCGTGGTATGACGAACATATGCTTCAGCGGCGACTGGCCATGGCAAAAGAGGGCGGGCACGACCTTAGAGCTCTCGTGGTTGATGGCAACTTAAAACTCAGTGGTCGTGTATGCGGCAGGCCAGTGGCGGAATTGCGACGCTGCGAGCCCTTACAAGCTTACACGGCGGTTCCCTGCTCGTGCCCTCCCGCTCGCAAAGCGCGCCGCTGTGACCTTCATATGTCGAAAGCTCAGGAGGGCCCGCTGGATGATCAGGCTGTCGTTGCGCATCGTCGCTACCGAGTTCTCATGGCTCAGCCGTGTCAGTTTCCGTACGAGGTGCTCTTGAAGTCGGTTGACGCGGTCCTATGCGGCGTTGCGTCGCAGGAGCGTGGAAAATGGGTTTCGGCTGGGAAATGCACGCCGCGGCAATTGGAAGAGTATTGGTCGCAGCAAGAGGAGCAGGGCTTCATCTCTCAGCGCACTCCTGGGCAAGAAGAAGTGTCATGCCGCACAAGCAAAGAGACATCCAAGCAGTACCGGCAGCTTGTTCGTCAGAATCGCCTAGGCGGAGTTCTTTTGGCTTGCACTTCCGAGGGCTTCATTGTCCACTTGCAGCAGTTTGTAGGGGCTGAGACCATCCCAGTGAGATACTTTTTTCTTGCGGAAATCTGTGCAAGGTTGCAGGATGTGCGTTGCTGCATCCACGATGATGCTTGCCATGTGGCGCGCTACGCGCTGAAGCACAAGGGCCGCAACGCCCTTGCCAAACGCCTGTCAGAGCTGGCGTGGGTGTTGGACCGGTTCCATAGTGCCGCCCATCGGGATCCATGGTGCGCCCGTCACTGCCATCCATCAGTGCATCAAGAGCTGCTTAGGGGTCTCAACACATCTGCAGCGGAGTCCTGCAATTCCATTCTCGGCCGCTACCGGGTTGCTTTCAGATCCATTGTAGCCTCGAGCACCCGCAGCTTCTATTTACAGGAAATTGTTGAAGGACGCAATCAAGTTGCCGGTGCTGGCGACAAAGCAAATCGCAAGCGCCGTCGGGAAGAAGTGGGCGCGTGATTCCTTGTCATGATTAGCCACTACTTCGGCGGGACGCGCGCGTGCGTAACCTTGCGGCAAAAAAGGGGTGAAGGGGGCGTGTCCTTGCGTCTTGCAAATGGGCAAATCAATCCCGGCAATGCGGGGCGTTGGCCATTACAAGCGGGGGAATGTCTGGGACGAAGTTTGTCCATATGCGCGCCCAGCAAAACCTTTCAAAGACCAACGTGTAAGTGCAAAGTGCGGGACATGGCGTGCCAAAGTGCAGGACGTGACGCGCTAACATGTGCAGCGCAACATGCGAAAAGTGTGCAGACGACAGGGTCAAAGCAAAACAACGACACCCCGACAGTGAACATGGCTTGTGCACGGGACTGCCCGGATGTAGCGAAAAGATTCTTTGCCACACGTCTTTTATGTAGTACAGTTGCACTGAAGAGGGGAGGCGCGACTTTCCGGCCGAAGCTGCCAAAGTGTTACTCCCTTTACCTCATGTGCTGAAAAGGTGCAACTTTTGAGCTGCCACAGCGTACTTCTTTCACCACACTTGTGCTGAAAAGTTGCGACCTTCGAGATGGAGCTGTCAACAAATGTGAAAACGCACAAACCCCTGTGAAGCGAGAGGGTTACCGCAAAACGATACTGGCTGCCCGATGTTCTTTTCCTGCATGAGGGTCTCATGCGAGCGGTTTCTACGCCTGGATCTAGACTTTCTGCGCGGCGCATTCAACAGGGAGAATGGAACGGTGAGACCCATTCGTTTGTGCTGCGTAGCAAGTCTGGATCCCGCCGGTATCATGATGGCAGTTCCGTAACCCGTTTATTTTTAGCATTTGCGGCTGAATGTTTGCCTTCTGGTGGCCTCTTTGTCTCCAAGACACTCGTTTGGCCACTCACCCGGCCGGGCTCCGGAATCGAGATTTTCTGCACGGCGCATCCAACAGGGAGAGTGGGACGGTGAGACCCATTCGTTTGTGCTGCGTAGCAACTCTCGATCCCGGTGTATACACCTGCCAAAGAAAACTTCCTTTCCTACATGTGCTGAAGAGTTGCGCTGTTACAGCGTACTTCTTAAAGTTGCGACCTTTGTGCTGGAGCTGCCAAAGCCAAATCAGATGTGAAACGCGCAAAACCCTGTGAAGCGAGAGGGTTACCGCAAAACGATACTGGCTGCCCGATGTTCTTTTCCTGCATGAGGGTCTCATGCGAGCGGTTTCTACGCCTGGATCTAGACTTTCTGCGCGGCGCATTCAACAGGGAGAATGGAACGGTGAGACCCATTCGTTTGTGCTGCGTAGCAAGTCTGGATCCCGCCGGTATCATGATGGCAGTTCCGTAACCCGTTTATTTTTAGCATTTGCGGCTGAATGTTTGCCTTCTGGTGGCCTCTTTGTCTCCGAGACACTCGTTTGGCCACTCACCCGGCCGGGCTCCGGAATCGAGATTTTCTGCACGGCGCATCCAACAGGGAGAGTGGGACGGTGAGACCCATTCGTTTGTGCTGCGTAGCAACTCTCGATCCAGGTGTATACACCTGCCAAAGAAAACTTCCTTTCCTACATGTGCTGAAGAGTTGCGCTGGTACAGCGTACTTCTTAAAGTTGCGACCTTTGTGCTGGAGCTGCCAAAGCCAAATCAGATGTGAAACGCGCAAAACCCTGTGAAACGAGAAGGTTGCCACAAAACGACACTGGCTACCCGATGTTCTTTTCCTGCATGAGGGTCTCATGCGAGCGGCTTCTACGCCTGGATCTAGACTTTCTGCGCGGCGCATTCAACAGGGAGAATGGAACGGTGAGACCCATTCGTTTGTGCTGCGTAGCAAGTCTGTGATCCCGGTCCACACTTGCCCGTTTCCAGGGACCTTGTCTAGAAGGGTTTTAAACCCCTTGTTTCCCTCTTCTAGAAGTTGATGCTGCGGAGTTGAATCGCTGCGGGGCCCTCCTTCGAGTGGCTTCAGAGGTGGCTTCTTTCGTGCCCGCTCAGGCACTGTTGGAACATCTGATGTTTAGTTAGGCTCTGGCCAGGCTTGCGCTGTGCATTCCCAAGCCGTGAGCAAGTTTTACGGTCACGTCCTGACGATCTCTTATCTATGCTTTCTTTTGGTCCCAAGCGTGTTGAAGTGTTGTTTTGGGTGCTCAGCTACATGTTCTATCTAGCTTTTCCTGTTGTGCCATGAAACGCGGCTGAATGGCTGAGACTGGCAGACTGTGTAAAAGGGATTGACC